AAAACATATTTAAGATTAATTAATGGATACACCCTAGTAAAGAAATTGATTGACAAATTTTCTGGAGACAATTCAATTCATACAATATTTTTTATATCTCCTTTAGTATCAACAAGGACAAAAGTTTTTTGATAAACCTAATCCATAATGAGCTTTTTACCCTTCAAGTGATGCAGAAAAGAAAATCAGACTTACAGTATATTTAAACACAATATACTCAATGTATAAGTTACAAAAGGAAATTCTGAAACATCTTTTTGAATATTCCAAGATCCAAAGCAAAAGATCAATTATATGGAACAAATCTCAAAGTAAAATCCTTCAATATATTAGAAAAACAAAAAATTTATCTGATGAGAGCCAGGCAAAAATTAAAAGAGTAACAGGGAAATGAATCCAGGACATTAAACAACAGGATAAAAGCCTATATAATATAATCTGTGGCTTTATATACAGAGACAAGACCAAGATCCTGGAAAAGTATCTCAAAGCTTTCAAGATCCCAGTGACAATAACACAAAAAGCTATTAGTAAATTTTGTAAAAAAATAAAAAAAAAACCTTCAAGAAGAAAGTCTGAAATAAGCACTATAGCATTACTATCAAATGGAAACAAAATCAAGAAATTATCAGTAAACTCAAAAGACTTAAAGTAGCAACAGATATAACTAGAAAAATAGATCGAGTCCCTAAGAAAGCCAATTACTCCTCAATTATTTCCTCTAGAAATATAAAAGAAGGAGAAGAAGACTCGAAATGAATAAAGTCCCAAGGCAGTATAATAGATATAATAATTAATTGAATATTCAAAGGTTTTAAATAGTTTTTAATTACAATTAGAACTTTGTGAGATCTACAGTGATGAGCTATAGGCAATAATCTGAATGACTAGAGAATAATTCAAGCCACAAAGAGAGTAAAATATCATTCCTTAAGTTGTATCTAAAGAAGGTTAAACTTTATAGACAGATAAGTCAATATGTAAAAGTCATAAAATATATAAATACCAAATATGTTTACAATAAAATGGACAAGTGATATATGGATCAATAGTGTAGTGGTTAGCACTTAATAGGTTATATCACAAGATTCTGATTCAAGTTCTTCAAGTGGCAAAATTATAAAAAATTCTGTCAATCCTTGCTAAAGACAGAAATCCGCTACTAAAACCTGTTAATCTGGTATCACTTATAGCTAATTATTATTCTAATTAGACAGGTCTATGAATAGATGATATCATGCTCCTGCATTATAAACCTGATATGGTTGAGTTTATAACTGAAATAAAATCTTATTTGCACCTATCGAGTTTGTAGATCCTTAACCAATTAAGTATAGATTCTGAACTAAAAAAATTGAAAATTTTTGGGAAGAAGAGTAAATCCTTTACTCCTCCCAAAAAAACTCTTTCCCACAGATCCTTTTTTGGTAATTTTGGGAAAAAAGAAAGAAAGTGAATGGAAGAGATGAGTTCTCAAAGAGAACCTAAAAAACAATATAGTTCAGGGTGACCCAACTATAACAAAAATATTTTAGTAAAAGGTAACACAAGAAATATGCTCAAAGAATCGAATTCAGATACTGGAAAGGAAACCAGCAAAAATAAAGGAAAAACAGTTTTACGAGAAGAAAATAGACTAGAAAAACACATGAACAGTCCCAACAATAAACAACAATCAATTCTTAAAGGCCCAAGCAGTACCAAATCCAGGAAAATAACAATCGACAACTCCATCTGGAGTGAGCAAGTAGAAGAAGAAATCTTGACAACATCAATCAACAGAGGAAGCATATCTGCTACAGAAAACCCAAAAGAAAATTTAGCAACACTACCAAAAGATATTGGAACCAAAGCATGAGTCATCGACTCAGAAATAGAAATAGATTTGAAAGAAGAAACCAGAGAAAACATCTCTTAAACAGACTGAAATCCTGAAGAAGAATGGCAGACTGGGAAAAGAAATGGAAAAACAAAAACCAATACTTTTAACAGGCCCAGACCCAGATCCCCCTTCAATAGAAAAACCAGATTTGGAAGAGAAAGAGCCAAGACAGGAATAAAAGCAAGTGCAATCCCAGGCCAAACAACAAGTCAAAAAGTTGCCTTCCTTACTAAGAACCTAGACTCTATTATTGGTTTCATATCAATCTTTAGTGAAGGAAAAGATGAAAATGAACATATTATAGAAAAACAATATAGAGTTTTTTTAGTAATAAGAAATTATCTTGAAATCAATTATCCACTCTCTTGTTATATACTTACTCTAAGAGTATTCCTTCTTATTTTTTTTTTAGAAAATTTTTCTACTTTAATTTGATTTTGAATTTTAAGTAGCACAAAGTTTTTTAAATAATGATTGGCTAGCAAAAAATACATTAATAAAGAAATGTAAACAAGTTTCTATTGGTTATACTATATGTCTGAATGTATTTCCTTAATACCTATAAGAATTTGAAGTTTATTATTAGTTATATATTTGTAGTACAAATAAATATAGAATATAAATATTTATAATATTATTGACTATACAAAAAAAATAAAGTTGGATTAGGATATATCAGATAGAAAATATCAGTCCTCTGTTTTTTCTCTTCTTTTTTAATAAATTAAATCAAAAAGAAAAAATTACATAAGATAAGATTCTTTAAAAGAGTTTTGGATACTTATTATTTCTTCTCTGAAAATATATCAGTCACATTATAAAATAATAATATATCTCTTTAAGAATAGTACTAGATATCTTTTTTTTTGGATTTTTTGATTAAGCACTAGTGAAGGTTAAGATTTTACATGAGAGATCTTTAATATTGATGGTGCTGTGTACTTCAGGTAAATCCTTAATACATTAGTTCCTTTTTTTGAGAAATAGTGATAAGCTACTTAGTGGATTAAGACCTAAACTATTAATAGAGATTTGGTAAGATTGAGATTCTAGAAAATGTCAGGTATAAAATAAAAAATAATATAATATAATTTTTATTCTTTTTATTATTTTAGCATTTTGTTTTTGTAAGTAGTCAATCTATACTAGATGGTCATATAATTATCTTATCTTAATTGAATAAGACATAAATAGTTAACTTTTTATACTATTTGTTAATTTGTAAATTCTTAAAAGTATGGATAATTATTCATTCTTATTGTCTCTAGATTTTCTATTTACTTAAGTTTTGTTATTTTTAAAAATTTTTTTCTTTATCAAATTTTTACTTTTAAATGATTTTGATATCATAAATTATATAATAATTAATAAAAAAATTTTTTTTTCTTTATTAAATTTTTACTTTTAAATGATTTTGATATCATAAATTACTGTATATAATAATTAATAAAAAAAAATTTTTTTAAGATACTAGCTCATCCTTATGCCTTGGTGCTACATGCTTTATTTAAAAAATTACATATGAAAAATTTTTGAAAAAAATATAAGAAATAAAATTAGTATCAAGGCATAATATACTGTAATATATGTAAATTTTATAATTTTTGATTGTATAATTAAGAATTTAAAATTGATAAAGTTGAAATTTATAATAAAAAACATAGTAAGTAAACTCAAACCTTTGAAAGCAACTGTAAATATTTTTCTAAAAATTATAAATTACTGTAGGTCATAATTTTGCTAATAACAAAAATAAAATAATATTATAAGTTCTACGACGCCGAAATATACGAATACACTGTTTAAAGAGCTACTGTATTTTATTTAACTACATAATTATATTATCAATGGCAGCCAGTTTTGTGAACTTTATATCTTCTTGAAAAGTAAGATCTGAGGCAATGCATATTCTAATGGATGTGACAAAATTGCCATTTTCATTCTAGCTCGCAAAGATCGATTCTATTAACAATACACAAAGAGCAAGAGAATTCGTTTATGCGATCCTAGTTGCTTCCATATTTGTCATACAATTGAAATTTTGAAGTCTGCAGGAAAAAGAATCGCGTATCGTTTCGAATTTCGTAAATACAGTTTTTCTTATTGTGTCACACCTAAGGAACGTATGGGCATTGGTAAATTACAATAATGTCAATCTTTATATTGTTGATATGACAACATTGTACAGGTATTATCATACATCCGAAGATCGTTAGATTGGGAAAATCTGGGAATCATTAAAAAACCAATTCTACATTGCATTATTGCATTAGACAACTTTTGTTCGCAATTTTACCTTTTAGAAGTATGTATCTTTGTTTTACTCACGTTAAGTTATAATTTAACAATAGTACCGAAAATCCGATAGCTCAATTATATAATTTCTTTTCGAAAATTACGTACACACGCTACACCTTATCCTTTATCAGAAAGCGTTTTCTGTCAAAGAATGTTTGCGGAGATAACTCAATCAGGAATAAAGGTTACATATTCTGATTGCGCTGGAATTAATGATATTCCGGAACAGATTGGACCCGTAATTGATGAGGCTGGTGACATTCACTACTTCAGCAAAATTCATAATAGCGACCACACCGCGCAGTATTGGTTGAAGAGGTTGGGTCAGAGTTTGGCAAAGCATTTGGCCTATGCCTACGAGGTGAATGTTGACAAAGGTATTATTATTTTCGAATATGCGTTATTTTCGGTCGCCCGGTTTTTGCATAATTCACATGCATTCTTAATCGCGGATATAGATCGAGCTGTCTTGACGGATTTTCCGGAAGGATACTTGATGTTTAAACACGAGAAAGTGTACAAAGACGAGGAAAAAACGAGTGTGCAAAAATATCTACTTGGTAACCTTACGTTCTTGAATACGCTTTCGTTGATTTACGGAATTAAAATGAGGTTCTCTGTGTTCACAGGACACTCGATATACAAATCCACGAACGCCTTTATGCCCCACCTGTTTTGGTTGGCATCTGACAAGTCGAACAAATGCAAGTGTCGTTTTTGCGCATGCAATAAAATGGAAGAAGAACCATTGTTGACGGTTTCGCCGCGAACAAAAAATATTGGAGGTGCTCGCAGTAAAAATGGTGCAAAACGTAAAAATAAAGTTAAAGGAATCATCGATTTTGGAAAGCTGGAATTCATGAACTTTGAGAGGAAACAACAAGGCATCACAACGATTTATAGGTGCGGTGAGATCGTGTGGGTGGATATTAAGAAGATGGGAGATGAAAAATTAACACTGCTCGCCGGAAAATCACTCGAAGAGATTGACATCACATACTGGCCAGGGATTATATTAAACCGACTGAGAACGAGAACGCGTTTATCCAACGAATCTGATGATTCGACGTCAAAAGTCTCCGACAATAATTCAATGACAATTGATGGCTCAAGTATGGACTGTGAGATCATTGATGAAGTTGGGATGTCTGATGCATCCTTTTTGTTCAGCTCAGCATCAAAAATCGATGAAAGGATCATGCCAACTTCAGATGACAATTCGGCATATAACGATTGCTATGTGCTAATCCCTACGATAAATTGCTCTCAACATTCTTATCCAATCAATGACTCTTCAAGTCTCAACGAAGATGAATTCCTTGTGCCTGATTCTTTCTCGACTTCAAATGTATCGGTCACAAGAAAATGCGATGTTCGATGCCACAAGGTTGTCTATCAAGTCGAATTATTAAGAATGTCGGAGAAATTGGAGTTAGATCGTGAGATGCTTTCTCCTTGGTTAGCCCATCGACCGGATGTTCCAGAAGGAATGGAATCAGATTGCGACACAGGTAAGAAAAAAAACCCCCTTTTTTTCTTTGAACCTTTTCGATGAAAGTTGATCTCACGAAATAACAGACAAAGAAGACGACGAATCACTAGCAAGGAAATATAACGGTGCCATTCGAGAGGCAAAGTTATTCTCTCAATCATATACGACGTTGAATGCATATCAAGAAGATGTGACGGATTATAATGAGGTGGTAGAGATGCTAAAACCGAACGAGAGAAAACGATTGAAGGATAAAGTCATACACTTCGAAGCCATCCTCTTTGGGAACGAATTATTTTGCATTGATGACATAATACGATTAACACCGTGCGACACAGAAAATCCAACTTACGAGGATTACCCGGATCCGCAGTATATTTATTTGAAGGACATTCGTGAAACGGACAATGGCATACAGCTTGTCGGAGACGGGTTAGTTCGAAGAAAGTTGGTCAATGAAAATGAAGCTCGGTTTATTACTGATTATGAGTGGTACCGGATCAATTTGCCGGAGGAGGAGTACACAATAGATTTGGGAGAAGTGGCAGGTAGGTTTTACGTTGACTACCCTGATCTCGAGGAAGTCATGGGATGCTCGCGTACGATGACCTTTAAGGAACGATGGAGAAGTCAAAGTTTCTGCAGAACTATCATGAATACCATGAACGTTTCTCCGATCATATAAATACCATTGAATTGTTATTTCGGATTTGGTTATTAAAAAATGCACAGTATTTATTTCACCTGATATTTAATAAATTATTAGTGTAATGTAATACTAACGTATGCGGTAAATCTTTGATCTGCCTCTACTCTATTATTAATTCCCCTTTAAATGCTCGGATTATTAAAGCCTTAGACTTAATTGATCACAAAAATAATGAAAAACAAAGGTAAACTAGTTTTAAAAAAGATGAATAATTGTTCCCAGTCCAACTTTTCTAAGAACAAAGTGCGACCGGAAATTTCAATTTAGCCAATTTCGCTTCGCGTAACCGATGTATCACCAAAGGTGCGCCGATCCCTCAACCAATCCTAATATAGTACTTAAATGCAAGGTGATCCTCGTGTGCGCGAGTGGTAACTCTTCTTTATTTTGGCGATGAATTATGAATCCGACGAAAATCCAGATTCTACCCTGGAATGGGTGGATTGGATGGATAGCCTGATTATCGAGGACATCTTTCAAAAAGAGAATATCACATTTTATCCCTACAACGACTTCAACGATCTGAAAGTTGTGGGCAGTGGTTCAGGCGGGAACGTGTGCAAAGCAACTATGCGCAACTTACGGAAAAATGTGGTCCTTAAGCCTATCTCTTTATCAAGGGAATATTCGCACAAGGATCTGATATATGAAGTATGCCTCGTTGTTAATATGTATTTCGCGAGGGTTTTTAAGTATGTTGCGCGCGAGAATTTTAAATGGAAATTGTTCATTCCCTCCCGACTTTTAATGGTTTTTCTATAGATAAAGCGTTATCGACAGTTGGAAGTACACGGAAATATCTTGAAATTGTATGGAATCACCAAGGAGGGTAATATCGACGTTTCAGAGAAAAAATGATTGTCAAGAAAGAGATTCTCGAACTGCAACAACTTTATGAAAATTTTCTAGATCAAAACTCTTACACATACCTGGTTGTTTTCGAATACTCCGACGGTGGTTCCCTTCGTCAATTTCTGAAGGAAAATTCCGAAACGATTAGTTGGCATACAAAATTACAACTTTCAAAACAGCTTGCTGGTGCGCTGATGTGTTTGCACAGTAATGGCATTGTTCACGGAAGTTTGGTATGTCTTGCATTGCGACTTGGACGAACATTGGTATCCACCACCTCCACATTCACCATCCCATTGATCACCCCTTTAGAACTCGAGCAAGGTCCTTGTTCATAAAGGGAAAATCAAATTAAATCCGTTCGGAATCGTCAGACGTGTAAATGAATCAAAGAAGTTGATTGAAAAATTGATAGGTCCCATTCAATATGCTGACCCTCAGTACCTGGAAATTCTGAAATCTGTTGGTTGCAAGAAAAGCGTGGATATTTATAGCCTTGCGATCTTATTTTGGGAAATTTCAAGTTCCGGGGAACCTTATAAGTCCGAATTAAGATCAAGATACAGTCTTATCGACGATATATGTAATGGCCGGAGGGAGATTATTTCCGATGAAGTTCCTCGAGAGTATTCGAAAATATGCCAAGGTATTTCACGTGATGTCATTATTTATTATTATTATTATTTTTTTTAATTATATGCGCGATATTGATAATGATACCGCATGTGCAGATTGTTGGCAGCATAATGAAAATCATCGTCCAAATATTGAGCAAGTATTTGAAGCACTTGACAACGTTGACACGAAAAACAAACGAAAATCTCTGAATTCCGGAAGTATGATCACGTAAGTCAATCAATAGTAAGAACTTTTGGTGATATCTAACACGGTCGCTTTTGATGATGATTCTTTGATAAATCATCAGAGAAAATAGAAGTTTCGAAAGTAATCTTTCTAAAATTGCCAAATATGATCCACCATTTATTGATGTGTCCGATTGGATTGATGGCTTTTTGAAGGATCTGTTCGAGTTTTTTATCGAGCAGTTCAACAAGCAAAACCACCCAAAGTACGTGGCGCAATTAGTTAGAAAATATATTGACGATCATAATAAGAATCCTGCCAAAGTCTTGATTATGATGTTTAAACAGCAACGTCTCTACCTGACAAGCTTGATCGGGCTATTTTACCAATTTGGAATAGGAACTTTGGTAGATTCACAGATAGCTTTCGAAATGTATGCTCAGGTGATAAAGAGCATGAGTATTAGGGAATCACCGCTCGATTCATTTGAAATAAACAATCGGTTAATAAGCGAATTTTCGATCGGATTCATGTATTTGTTTGGAACAGGAGTCGAACAGGACCAAATTAAAGCATTTCAAGTATTTTCGAAATTATCCGATGAAGGATTCGCGCTGGCAAAAGCATACCTGGGGGAATGCTTCGAGCGCGGATATGGTACTAACTGGAATGCTACCAAAGCTTTGGAATTATACTCCGAATCGGCCGAGACGGGAAGTATAGTAGGAAAGACTTACCTTGATTATTGTTACATGAATGGTATAGGGATTTCCAAGGATGTGACAAAGGGATTTGACATGTGCTTGAATTCCGCGATGGAAGGAAATGTTGTCTCCCAGAATTGGATTGGGAATCGTTATTTCAATGGAATTGGAACACAAAAGGACGCCAAGCGAGCATTCGAGTTTTACTTAAAAGCTGCCGAGGCTGGTAATGAGGTGGCCCAGTATAACGTCGGTCTTTGCTATATGAATGGTAATGGAGTTAATAAGAATGAGCACAGCGCCTTCAACTGGTTTCTAAAATCAGCTGAAAATGGCGATACTGATGGACAATATATGATCGGATGGTTGTACAAAAGTGGAAAAGGAACACAAAAAGATGTTGTGAAAGCGATCCATTGGTTGGCTATAGCCCGAGATAATGGAAATGGAGAAGCTCAAAAATTTTTAAATAATGTTGTCAGTCAAATTAATTTCTTTTCAAGCTATTATGAAAGATACTAATATTTAATTTATTTTAGTTTATTGGCATAAACATTTAGATTATAATTATCAATAACGAATTATCTTTTATTTCACTTTTGTGTTTACTTCTCTCAAGGTTAATTAATAATAACAATTTCGGAGTTAAGAATTTTAGATCACAGTGTGAATGCATTGATAATATGAAAATCAATTTTTGAAATAGCAGAAGTTGTGGGATTTGAAGTTTGTAATAAGCCTCCGGAAAGTTTAATTTAAACTTTCGGATAACTTCTAGCAGTTGTCCTCTAGGCATTGCTTTTTATTAAATGCAATGATGTGTTCTAAAAAACCATCAAAAAAAAATTTTTTTTTTCTTATTATATTCTGTCGCAATATTTAATAATGGGACTGTGTATACTTGATAAGATAAGCATTGGCAACTCAAGATAAGTGGTGTTGGTTATTTTAGTGAATCGGCCTTTCGTACTCCATGCATGAGTACTAACGATAAAACTTGTGTCTTTAGAGAAACAACATTCCGTGTTATACAAATGCAAATGCATTATCTCATTGGCCGTGAATTAAGGTCATTCGTAAGCATAAACAATTCTCGAGATGATTGCTACCAGTGTCACGTGATTTGGCGTTTGCTTATCACATGATCATTATCAATTATCTGATTTGCATGATGAATTTTAAAGCGTACCAATACTAATATGTTATGCTTACTAGTATATTAAATATTTTTTTTCGAAGTGATGAGTATTATCAATTTTCATGTGCATTGTATTGAAAAAAAATTTTGGTAGTTAAAAATAGTAACATTATTGAATTTATTAAATATCGAATATTTTCTTATATATACAGTTTGGGACAAAACTTTTTGCTCTCTTTTTTCGTTTTATTTTTACTTATAATTTAATAACTATTTAATAAAATTTAATAAAAATTTATGTATATATAATTAAGAATATAAAGAATAAAACTACTTAAAGATTTTTTTAAAATTAATTATTAAAATTTTGTAAATTTAATTTTAAAATTTTTTTAAAAAGTTCAAAAATAGTAATTTATTATTAAATTGATATTTTTTATTTACTAAACCTAAATTAATTATATAATTAAAAAAAATTTTTTTAATAAAAAATTATAAAAATTTTATTTAAATATATATTTATCTTTGTTTTATAAATTTAATAATTAAATTATATTGAT